AAAGGTAATCTGTTAGAATGCATTCCTAGTTTAAATGCCATTTCTTCCATGAAACTTCCTTGATTTTCCTAGCTTAAATTGATTTATGTTGTTTTTAGTAATATAGTATTATCTTAATAATAATATAGAATTGTATAAATAATAATATTATTATATTATCTATAGCACATATATATCAGATAATATATGACATAATATAATCATATCTGTGGTATTATATATAGCATATATATTATAATACTACAGATATAATACTATTATATATAGTGTATGATAGTATTATGTATAATGCTATGTATAGTATATAATAACAATATTATATATAATATAATAGTATATAACAGTATCATATATAATAACACTTTATTATAAGCACCTATCATACTCTAATATGATGTTTGTTTGTGTACACATCTCATCCCTCTCTCTAGAATATAAACATTTTGAAATCAAACACCACATTTCACTTATCTTGGCATCTCCTCTAGGGTCCAGCATAGTACAGTGCATATAGCACCTGCTTCTTATGTGCTTTCTGAATGAGTGAGTGAATGAATAAATGAATTCCAAGAAGCAGCTGGCCTGGAGAATAAGAGAGTAAAGACAGAAAGTCTTGGGATAAAATGATGTATGGCAGATTCTCCTATTTGAGTTAAGCTAGCAGAAATCAAGTCCATTATGGCAAAAAGGTTGAAAAAAATGGCAGATATAAATAAATTGGATTATAGGATCCTAGGATTTCATTCCAATCAGAATGTTGGATATCATCTAGTCCAGGGGTGGGGCACCTGTGGCCTTGAGGCCACATGTGACCTTCTATGTCCTTGGGTGCAGCCTTTTGACTGAGTCCAAGTTTTACAGAAGAAATCCTTTTTTTTATTAAGATGATTTGTCCTGTGAAGTTTGGATTCAGTCAAAGGGCTGCACTTGAGGATCGAGAGGGCCACATGAGGCCTCAAGGCTGCAAGTTTCCCACCCCTGATCTACTCCAACCTCCTTCATTTAGATGAAGAAATAGTCTCCATGAGATTACTTGATTTGTTCTAAGTCATAAAACTAGTTGGTGATACAACTTACATGACAACTCAGATTTCCTCACTTCTAGTCCATTGCTTTTTCCACTACATACACTATATTTCAGTACACATGAGGTATTTGTTTATCAGAAGAGTTGTATGGTCCAGCTTGTGCTTTTGAACTAATACTTTGGCAGCTATGTGGAGAATGGATTGGAGAGGGAGAAAGACTTGCGTTCATGAGGCTAATTAGGATATTATAGTAGTAGAGGTGAGAGGGGATAAGGTCCTGAACTAGGGTGACAGCATTTTGAGTGGAAAGAAGAGGACAAATTAAAGAGGTGTTGGGTAATGCAAAATTGATGAAACTTGATAATTATGTAGGAGGCAAAGATGATGGAAATTCTGAACCATGGTAACTGAAAGGATTTTGTTGCTATTGATAGAAATAGGGAAGTTTGGAAAGATGAGTAGATTGTGGGGGAAAGATAATGAGTTCTGCTTTGGACATACTGAGTTTGAGTTGCCTGTGGGACATCCAGTTCAATATGGCAATAGGCTGTTGATGATGTAGGACTCAATCCTCACATGGGTGAAGCTATAGGAAAGAAGACTGAAGAGTGGTCAGATGGGTAGAGGGAAAACAATAACAACAACAACAACAAAAAAAAACAGAACTCCAAAACAAAAGAACAATGTCATGAAAACTCAGAAAGGAAAGACTATCTAGGAGGAGAGGGTTGTAGATAGTTTCAAATATTGCATAAAGTAAATAATGATAAAAGTTGAGAAAGGGCCATTGTATCTGGAAATTAAGCAATGATTGGTAACTTTGGAAAGAATTTCAGATGAGGATGAGCTCAGAAGTCAAATTGTAAGGGACCGAGAAGCAAGAGAGGAAGCGGAGGCAATGAGAGCAAACTTTTTTCCCCCTAGGAGTGGAACTGTGGAAGGCAGGAGAGATAAAGGATGATTCCTTGAGAGAGGCTAAATGAGGATTTTTCTTTAAAGATTGGCATTTTTTTTTTAACATACCTGTAGGCAATAGGGAATGAACAAATAGAGAGAGAAAGAAGAAGATTAGAGAGAAAGGAGGCCTGATTATGGAGACAGTCTGCTGTAGGAGGTAAAAGGGGATGAGATCAAAGGTACAAGGAGGGTAGTTGATCTTAATGTGTGAAATGATTTCATCAGAAATTACAATAAAGGAAGAGAGAAGGGACGAGTGATGTCTAGGAGTTTTGAGATATAGGAGAGAAGGGAGAGCTCAAGATAAATGGCTTCTGTTTTCTCGGTAAAGTATGAGCTGAGGTCCTCAACTGAGAGGGTAGGGAAGAGTGGTATGGAAGATGTGAAGAGTGAAGAGACAGTTTGGAAATGTCCTTAGGTGATCTAGGAGAGTGAAGAAGAAGGAAGGGGAGAAGAAGACCTGGAAGAAGAGGAAAGGGAGGAGGAAATTGGGAAGGAAATTAAGCATAAATTTCAAGATGCTAAGATGAAGCGACTCTTCCAGGGGAGTTGGCCACAGGAGCTACTAGACAAAACAACAAAGTAGTAAGAATCTTGCTTTCAAGGAGTGTGAAGAGCATGATGAATTTTATAATGTGACATTCTTAGAGTGTGTGATGTTTATGTTTATCTACCCACCACGACCAAGGAATTGTTAACCCTGCTTAAAGTGCAGGATAGTCTCCCCTCCTAAAGGAGAAGGGAAAAGAGCTGGAAGAATGCTTTCCCACGTTCAAGTGTTCCTTTGGAAGAAAAGCTTCAATGTGAAGACAAAGGAAATAGGTCGGAAGAAGCAGGAGAGAATTCTGACCCGTGTCCGGAGGGTCAGAATAAGGGCAGACTTGCATGAATGAAGCAAAATGAAGAGAGCAGAACCGAAAGAACAATGAAGACAGTGTCAGGAGGTTGGAGGGTGAAAAATATGATATAAAAAAGGAGAAAAGTGCTCACTGAATGCTTGGAACTAAGCAACAGATATGAGACTTTTACTAAAGAAGAGGAAGCAAGGCCTTCTGAAGAAGAAACAGCCTCTTGTCCTTCAGGAAATAATGATATGTGTCCGTAAGTGAGAGATGATCCAGCAAGGGTCAAAAGAGGAAAGCATGAATAGTGGTGGTTGGTGATTCCCTGCTGAGGGATACTAAGGCAGCATCTTTGTTGACCTGATGCTAACAGTAAAGAAATCTGCTATCTTCACAAGGTATATATCTAAATTGTGACAGAGCATCTCATCCAGTCTTATGACTACCATCCACTTCTGGTATTGCACATGGGCAGAAATGACACTGCTAGAATGAGTCTAGAAAGTATTGCTAAAACTAGAGAGTCTTGGGCAAGAACCAAGCCCTTAGAGTACAAATAGCATTTTCATCACCTTTGTCAATTGAAGGCAAGGACTTAGAAAAAGACAGATAAGGGAAGTAAGTAGCTGGTTAAGAAAATGGTGTTTCAGGAGAGGACTTATTGATTTGTCCTACAGTTTAAACTATAGGAATGACAAGTTCATGACCAGGGATGGAGTAGAGCAAAAACTGGACTGGTAAGAAAGTGTTGGAGGCAGCTAGGTGGCCCAGTGGATAAAATACTGGCCCTGGAGTCAGGAAGACCTGAGTTCAAATCTGGCCTCAGACACTCACTATCTGTGTGACCTTGGACAAGTCACTTAACCTCTTTTTGCCTTAATCTACTGGAGAAGGAAATGGCAAACTACTCCAGTATCTTTGCCAAGAAAACCCCTTGAAGAGTCAGACACAAGTGATCAACAACAAAGTGTTTGCCCAAGAAGTTAAAGACAGAAACAAAGGTCCAATATATAGGAAAATATTATTTGCAACACTTTTTTTGTGATAGCAAAGAACTGGAAACAAAGTGGGTACCCATTAATTGGGGACTAGCTTAAACAACAGTGGTATATAAATGCAGTGAAATGTAATTGTGCAGAAAGATATGATGATTATAAGGAATTCAGAATGTAGTACATAGACATTAAACTCACTCTCTCAATCCCTATTTGAACTGCCATGTTAGGTCCCTAAATCTTAGTTACTGTATCTCCCCTCGTGGTTCTAGGGGTAACCCTGATGAGTTGGGGATATTTTCTAAGTACAATTGCATTTGGGTCCTCATCCAGTGTGTTGTTCCTCTTCCCCAATATCAAATGCCAGGTAACATCTCACCAGTCTCAATAGACTAGCTGTTCTGTCTTTAATATCAATTAACCAATGAACATCAATTAGCTTTTGCAAAGGGATATTTACTGAGAATATACAGTAAGAACTGAAGTACAAAAAACTCCTATGTAGAGAACACATTCTACTCTACCATCTTGGTCCCTGGGGAAAGTGAGTTCAAACTTAAGTGTTTTCTACAAACTTTCCTTCCATCATGTTCACTTTTGAGTCTAGCATAGCTGATGGACCAGTCTTTTCATCTGGGGGTGATGTCTTAGGAACTGAGTTGGGTCAAGGAACTGGGATGGGTCAAGTAGGTTTCTTCTGTGGGCTGGCTTCTCACTAGATTTTGCTTCAGTAGCTACTTGTAGACTTTGCTCTAGTTGCCTATTGCTGGACCTCTGGTGGCTTTCTCAACCTTTCAAAGATCACAAGGTCACAACTCGATCCAGTCTGTCTCCAATACTCATTCACTTGTTCTCAGGAGAGAATAGATACAAAGATGCAAAAGAATTCATATACAGCCACATAATGACTAGGTGGGCAAGGGAGTCCCCAACCTAGCAGCTCACTGCACTCTCCATGATACATTTCTGGAAGCAGGCTTACCAGTAATCCATTTGGATTGCTGCAGGTAAGGAGTGCTGTGAGCTGCTAGGTTGGGGAACCCCTTGCCCATTTGCCTAGGTAAGTGAAAAGAGATTTCATTTGTTTTAATCTTTTGTGTGCATACTCAGTTCTAACTTAGCTGGCTGTTAAGAAGCTTTTCATCATGATGTAGTAGGACACAAGAAACACTTTATACCTGTACTACTCTGAATAGAGGTGGGAAAGAGCCTCTCCCCATGATATATTTCTGGAAGCAAGCTCACTAGGAATCCACCTGAATTGTTGCCGGCAGGTGTTTCACGTGATGTAAGGTCTGGAATCTTACTGGCCATTTCCATCCATTACTAGAAAAACATGGGAAGATTTGAATGAACTGATGCAGAGTGAAAGGAGCAAAACTGAAATAATAGTGTATATCATGCCTACACCAGTGTAAATGAAATGATCACTTAAAGAGATCCAGATTGAGTAACTGAGAAACCAAATCTGGTCCCTGAAAACAGGTAATAAAACATACTTACCTTGTCATGGCAGAGGCTGGGGACTATAAGGGCAGGTTGTTGTATACATTGCCAAATGTGGTCATTGTATCAGTTTTTTTTGCTTTGTTGTTTTTCTGTTACAAGGTTTCAACATTGAGGTAGAGGAGGATCCTTTCTTATCCATCTTTTCCCAAAGTAACTATGACATAAGGACAAAAGACATCAAGAAAAAAGAAATATATGTGTCCAAAATCTTGCAAATCCAATAAAAAGTATTTTAAATTTAAAAAGAAAGGGGAAGAAAGAAAAGTGTCTATATATTTGCCAAGCTAGTTAGAAGAATAGTATGTGAGCTACCCAGAATTTTACAATAGACAAAATTCAAGGAAGTGCCAGTAATAAAACACATGACCTCTGGTGTCTACACTAGCACGAAAGGCATAAGAAAGTGAATTAGAGAGCCAGGTCAGGCTTATACCGTTTTGCCACTCTAAAATCATGAGTGTGATTATTTACAGGCAAATATAGTATTTTATAGCTAAGAATTTTTCTCTGTGGCTAACAGTCAGACATCAGATATCACAGATGCAAAAGTAGATGCGAAGAGTTACACATGCAAATTTTTTCTTGGTTTCAAATTGTATGCATTATCTTTGCCATTGGTTGCACTTAAGCACACAACTCAAATTTTGCATTGATGGTTTACAAATGTTTACAAATCTAGAATTTGGAGAAAGCTTACTTTAAATGCACTTGTTCTGTTTGTACATTTTTCCCTTCGAGGGAGGGGCCTCTTTAGGCAGCTCTTCAAATTCTACAAGAGTTCTTGGAGGGTAGTTTGAATTTGTAATGAGGAATGAATGGGGATTTTTTTTTTTGTTTGTTTCATCTATCACCTTAACCCATGGAAGAGCAAATTTAATTTTACTGGCATGACTTTACAGAAGGCTTCCATTTTTAAATAAAATCTTTGCTTTAGGGAGCTATGTGAGCTATCATCCTCTATCTTGCTGCCCTCTCATAGCCAATTAGAAGAGGAATGTGCTTTAACTTCCTCATCTTCCACTCATTTCTCAACCTGCAGTCTGGCTTCCTACCCCTCCACTTCACCAAAACTGCTCTCTCCAAGGTGGCTGATGACCTCTTGATTGCTAAATTCAATGGCCTTTTCTCAATCCTTATACTCCTTGAAGCAGCTAAGTGGTATGGATGGATAGAGCACTGAACCTGGAGTCCGGAAGACCTAAATTCAAATTTTGTCTTAGATTCTTACTAGCTATGGCCCTGGGAAAGTCAGTTAACTTCTCTCTGACTCAGTTTCTTCACCTGTAAATGGGGATAATAATAGCCCCCAGGTCCCAGAGTTGTTGTGGAGATAAAATGAGATATTTGTAAAGCACTTAACAGTACCTGGGACATAGTAGCTGCTTAATAAATGCTTATTCCCCTCAGCTTTTGGCATCCCTTAAACTTGAAATCTCTTAAGCTTCTCCTAACTCCCCTGACCCCCCCAACACTCTTTCCTTTCTCAAATTTTATGATACAAATCATTCTCTCCTGACTGTTCTTTCCTATCCTATTCCTTTTCAGCCTCCTTTACTCGATCATCATCATCCATGTTTCAACCTCATGGGTGTCCCTTAAAGCTCTTTACTGGGCCTTTTCTTCTCTTTCAACATCTTTCCTCAATGATTTGATTAACTCTCATAGGTTCAATTATTTAATGCATGATTTCCAACTCTATAAGTTGTATCAAGCCCTGATCTTTCTCTTTATTTTCTCTGGCATCAACTACTTGCTCAACATACCCACTTGTATTTGCTATCAGTCTCAAAGTTGGAGTGGTCAAGATCATTCTCTTTCTCTCTGAATGCCTTCTTCCACACTTTACAGTTGTGATAAGGGGACCATTATCTTTTCAGACAACCTGGTTTTCAATCTCAGAATCATCCTTGATGCCTTACTTTATATCTCCACTTACATCCATAACATAATTCCACCTCCATAACATTTCTCATATATGTCCTCCTGTTTGCCACTCACATGATTGCCACCTTTGTGTAGGCCCTCATCGTCCATAATTAGTCTCTTTGCTTGCAATTTCTCGTCTTTCCATTCTGTCTTCTATACAGTTGCTAAAATAATCTTCCTAAAGCACTGGTCTGACTATATACACTCCCATGCTCAAGAATTTTCAGTGTCTCCCTGTTGTCTTTAGGACCAAGTACAGATTCTTCATGTTAAACACCACAGTAGAACATAAGCTTCTTGAAGGTAGGGATCCTGCTGTTTTGTCTCTGTATCCCCCACAATTAACACAGTGGCTTGTACAGAGTAGGTCTTTAATAGTTGTATTGATTATATTGGCTCATGAGGAATTCAAATGCAGTTTCTTGATGAAACAAGTATTTTTATTAGCAAATACGTGTCTATTAAAAAGGAAATATATATATATATATATCTTGGCACCAGAATACTTTTCCAAACACACAGAAATGCATCCATCATCTTTTTTGGTGCTATCTAGGCAACTTTCTGAAAGAAGAAGATTTTAAAATAATTACCTAAGATAGTAATGTACTTCTTTTTAAAAGTTGAATTTTATTTTTCAATTAACTTTCAATTCAAATATTCATTTTTCTCTTCCTCACACTCATTATTATTTGGGGGGGGGAATTGAGAAGGAAGGGGAAAAAAACCAACTTTAGAACAAAGCAAAATAAATTTCCACATTAGCCAGTTTCTTATGTCATTGCAATTACAAATCTAGTTCAAAAGAAGGGGGAGGGGTGGGTGGAGAGAAGACTTGTATGTGTACTTTTGACTTCCCAGACTTCAATACCATACCTTATCTGCCCTGGAACATCTATCACTCCCTACGGCCTTCTCACTTGGTAACATCCCTCAGCAATGCCAGTCCCCTTCTCCCATTGGTGAGCTCCTCTCAGGGTCTCCATTTTGGGAGGGACCTGGGCTGGTCAACTTTCATTCCTCTCCAGGTTGTACTACTGACTTTCTGGACTTAAACACCACAACCCCATGCCCATCCACCCCCTTTCCAGTTCCCTTTTGTGTATTGTATTCCCCCATCGATGGTAAGTTCCTTGAGGGGAAGGAATGTCCTTTTTGCTTATATTTGTATCCTTAGTGCTTGCACAGTTTCCCCTACATTGTAAGTACTTAATATTTGTTGCCTTGCCTTGCCTTGCCTTATGTAGAGAAATTTTGCTCAATATGACGAGAACTGGCCTTAAATCTAAGACCTGGGTTCCAGTTCCACCTCCAACACACACTGACTGTTTGACTTCTCATTTCTCTGGGCAACTCTGTAAGAATCTAAGTTTCAGAGAAGGTACAAATTTGAAATGGTAGCAGGAGTTTCCTCATCAAGAAGTTCTCTATACTGATGAAGTCATGGGTACATTGCTGTACCTATCTAGATCAATAAATATGTATCTCTACCAGTTAATTATATAAATTAAAAAGTTTAAAATAATAACCCTAAAAATAGTGACAGATTACTTTTTAAAAATTAAATTTTATTTTTCAATTAACTTTCAATTAATTAAAAAATCTATTTTTTCTTCCCTGTACCCACTTTTTTGGGGGAAGGGAGGTAGGGAAGAAAAAAACAACAACTTTAGAACAAAACAAAATATATTTTTGCATTAGCCAGAGACATATTGCTGTGAAATGGGTTGAATTTGATTCTAAATTATTACCTCTCCTGAGACCTCACTAAGCTTGACACAAGGTTCATGGGAATCTCAAAAATAAAGATGAAAAAAAGGGGTGAAAAAGGAAAGAGCAAGATTAGATGTGGTCATGCCATTGCCTTGGCAGTGAAAGATATGACAGCTTTGCTCTTACAGAAAGGAGGGTGGAGTGGAGGTGAGGAGTGGGTTGGGAAGGTAGAGGCTGAAATGTGACATGACTTGGCCCCAACTTCAAGAGTATAATAGAGGGTAGCTAGGTGGTGCAGTGGATAGAGCATCGGCCCTGGAGTCAGGAGGACCTAAGTTCAAATGTGACCTCAGACCAAACACTTGGTACTTACTAGCTGTGTGACCCTGGGCAAGTCACTTAACCCCAATTGCTTAAAAATTAAAAAAAAAAAATTTTTAAATCTAGCTAGTTTTGAATCAAGCATATTCTGCCCTCTTAGCCACAGAAAAAGCTGCCTCCTTAATCCACTCATCTGTCCCATCACTAACCCCCAATCTTTTTCCAAGACTCATTTTTTAGACATGTAGTTGAAGGGGTTGAAGATGATGGTGTGTTTTTATGTTCCCATTGTAAATGACAAGATATCAACTGATTATGAAAAAAGGGTCTCTTTACAGTGGGGATATGGATGGGAGCAAAATACATAATATTGATTGACAGGTGATATTTTATAGAAGCCTCCCATGGTATTCCTGGTCATCATCCAGTTCCTTTTGCTTTTGTCCCACTTTCCCAGAGGTCAAACTCTGGTTGATAGAGGTTTTTCTATAGAAGACTCCCATGATACTCCTGGCCATCATCTAATCCATTTTCCTTTTCCCTAGTTTCTCATGCCAGTAGCCCTCAAGCTGGTGTAACTGAAGAACATCATTCTCACAGTTCCTGTGCCAAAAATGCTCTTTCTCCACCAGTGATTGTCGACCCAAAAGCAATTAGCATTCTCTTGCAAGGCCTTGACATTCTTTCTAAAATGGAAATTTTCATTGATTTTACTTCAGTTTTCCCTCATGTTCCTCTTAATATTGAATAATGTCCCTATGTTTGTATTCTGAAACTGATCACCCAAAACACCCAATGGCAACATAGGTGTCCTACAATAGGTTTTGTGGTACAAATCTGGGACGCTGTCTGAATGTGCTTTTGGGAGAACTTCTGATAGAGTTGATGACCCATAAAGGGAGAGAATTGTGTGTTTTTGTATCTCCAGCACCTACTATAGTTGCACATAACAGATGCTTAATTGGTGTTTGTTTAATTGGATTGAATTAATTATATAGATTTGGGAGTCTTCTGTGTAGAAGTGATCATTGAAGCTTCAGGGATAGATGAGCTCACCAAGGAAGAAGAGAGAATATACAGAGAAAGAGACGAGAGGTTTTAGGACAAATCATTAGGGTCTTCTCTACCGAAGAAGGGTCAGCAAGGGAGAAAGAGGAAAAAGACAAAGTGCTTTATGTACATTATCTTATTTGA